ACCAGGGGAACCTTGCCCACACATGGACAATGTGTGTGGCATCACAGTGAAAAGCTCACTGCTGGCCGGCTGGCCCCTCAGCATGATGCCCAGGAATTGCCTCTAAGACAGGGGCCGGTGAAACAGCAGTGTTCCCTGCTGTGAGTCTCAGGCCTTCACAATCATGAAGGTTATGAAGGACCGCTTCCCAAGAGCTTTCACTTATGTGGACCTCACTGATTGATGTTTACTATATTTGAAACAAAAACTGAGAAATTTAAAAAGGACTTACTCGTTTATTTACATGTTATCTCAACCTCTTTTATGGGAAGAAAAGAATTTTTCAAATACAAATTAGTGAGAGGTGTGATGGTAGTGTGTATTTTCACAAATCTCTTTAATGTCTGGCATAGTAGGAGACAGTGAGATTCTCCCATTTTCTTCTGCATTTGATATGTTGTAGCACGTGTCTGTAGCCACTGGAAGACTCCACTGTACATTCGTGAAAGAAAAACAGAACAAAGGCAAATAACACCTGTCTTAGTTTTTTTTTTTTATTGTCGAGACAAAATACCCGACACCCAAAGTTAAAGGGAAAGAGTTTATTTAGTTCATAGTTTGTAGAGGTTTTAGTCTATAATTGACTGCCTCTAAGGCAGGGTGGCATCACAGAGGACAAACAGTTCATGGTGGGCAGAGGGTAGAGCAACAAGGGATGACTATGGCTCTTTTAATCACTTTTCTTTTTTTTTTGTACCTGGGATCAAACTTAGGACCTTGTGCTTTCGAGGCAGGCATGGTGCCACTGAGCTAAATCCCTGACCCTTATCTCTTATATCTTATCCAGGTGACATAGGGCAGGTACCACTCACACCCTTAGTCCTAGTGCTCTTGAGCCTAGCATTGCACCATGAATGAATCACACACTCCAGATACAGCTGCCTCTGAAAAAGCCCCTCATATGACTGCATGAGGCTTTTGGGAGAGATCTAGACACAAGCCATGACAAAGTCATAGTGTTATGAGAATGGTTTTGAGTTAATGAGTCCTCAGGGGTCCCCAGACCACCCCTGGGGAACTAGTGTCATAGAAGTAGCCAAGGGCAAGATCACGAGAGAGAGCTGTGCAGATCATGTTAAATGACCCAAGTTTGACAGGAAACTGAAAGGACTTCAAGCTTAGAAATATGTGATCAGGTTTGAGTTTAAATTCACTTATTTTCATTGCTGTGGAGTAGATGAATTTGAGGGACAGAAAGAAAAGAAAACTAATTTCTGCAAGCCATGATGACAGACTCAACTGGAGCAGTATGTTTGGTGATGGATTGGGGAAACATTTAAGAAGTAAAATGGATGGGACCTGGTTGGTGTTTCCAAGTTGGAGAAGGAGAAAAAATAAAGAAAATGGTCATGGTTCTAACTTGGGTAACTGGAGAGAAGGTGGTGCAATTGAACGGAACAGGGGCTGTATAAGGCAAGGCCAGGAGGGAGAGAAGGAAGTGTGTTTAGTTTGGGACCAGCTGAATGGGTGGGGCTGACCCAAGAGAAGCAGAGCAGGGGAAACGTATGGATCAGGACCTTCTGCTGGTGCAGATTTACCGTAAAACTTGAGTTTTCCGGGCATGATGGTGCACACCTGTGTTTGTAGCATTTAGGAGGCTGAGGCAAGAAGATCGCCCCAAGTTTGAGGCTAACCTGGACTACACATTGAGAACCTGTCTCAAAAAATAAAAACAAAAGCAAAACAAGCACACAAAAAAATCCACTTGACTTTAGGGCTTCTCATTTGCATGGGCTTTTTTCAAGGGACTGAAGTGACCCATTCATGGGCATGCAAGATTAGTATTGGAGGAGGGGGCCTGGGGTTATATACAGCTTCATGGGAAAGCGCTTGCTTTGCATACGTGAGGCCCTGGCTCTGACCCTAGCATCATGAAAATGGAGGGGGGGGGATTATTTATTTAAAAATATATTCAAAGATCAAAACACCTTTTAATGCAGTTGGTTTTTATCACTCTTCCCACTCCAACTTTTCCTCATCTCATGATTCCTCATGTGCCAGATGGTTTGGTTGGCTGCAGGCATTTTGGAGATCCTACCAAGGGAAACTTGAACTAGGAGTACATTTAGCTTTGATTTAGTGATATCTATTTATGTGATTTGTAGCTTCTTGCCTTAAGTTATCACTGGCTCAGCATGTAGAGGGACAGTTTGTAGGAATTCCCAGCTCCTATCCCCTGCTCAAGTCCAAGTCAGGTCTGCTGCAATATAAACTTATTCTCTGGCCCCCAGCATTAGAAATTTGAAGGTAGAGGAAAACCAAGGTTAGGAATGTATAGGGGCAGAAATAATCCATGAGAAATTCTCCAAATCATCAGACATATAAAAAAAATTGAAAATAAATTTTCCTTCTAACCAATGACTGGTCAAAATGCAAGTTGCCTTCTGGCAAGTACATTAAGACAGCCACACATTCTCTACCACTGCTTTGATTAAAAAGCGGTGTTTGTTCCCTTCCCTTTGAAACTGGGATGGTCCAGTGGTTTGCTTTGAACAATAGAGCATGGTGGAAGTGATGCTGGGTAATGTCCAAATCTGGGCCATGGGAGACACAACGCTCTCAGCTTTTGTGCACTTGGAATGCTCCATCATGGTATCCAGAGGACATGCTCTTAAAATCTCAATTAACAAAAAAAAATAAAATAAAATTTTTAAAAAATCCCAATTTACGAGGAAAAGCCATGTGCAGAGAACCGAGGTGCTCAGCCAATTAGCCAGCAAAACTGGCCTGCTGGGCCCTCATGGACACTCTACATCAGGGGAACTCTGAGATTGGCAGTGCCAGTGAACACCATGTTCAGCAGATGGTCCACCAAGGCAAGCTGTGTGCCCAGAATACTGAGATCATAAATGACTATTGTTCTAAATTATGAATTTCAGAAGATTTTGTTACTCAGCAACAGATAACCCAAACAGTGTCAAGGATGTATGCTTTTAAACTATCTCTTGGTGTATGGAAATGGGTATGTATGAGATAGAACCCTATTATGTTTGTATGTGTTAGCTTTCTAAACTATTGTTTTATTTAAATCAGAACAAAAAGAATATGGAGCTAAAGGGCGAAAAGCAGATTCTTTTGGACAGGATAGACTTGAGTGAAGATATAGTGAAGAGGAATGAGTACAGGTGACCTTTAATCTGTAGCCAAGCAAAATGAATTTATTTATTTGAGATTATTTATTTACATATATTTTTACTTATGACAGAGTCTCACTCAGTAGCCCAGGGTGGCCTCAAACTCATGATCCTCCTTCTTCAGCCTTCCAAGTGCCAGTGCCAGGGTTACAAGAACAGGCTACCATGCCCAGCCCTTTATTTCTTGGCTTTGGAAATTCAACTCGAATAAAGAATGTAGTGCTTTATTCTCTACTAAAATGACAATAATAATGATGATAATGAAAACAAAGAATGGAAGGCAACATCCTGAAAGTTACAGAATTTCTTTGTCTCATTAAAAATTCTCAAATTTTTACAGTTGACTTCTGTGGAATACTTGTAAAATGTGTTACATAGGCCATTTCTTTTATGGCAATTTGCAGCAGTTTATTTACCACAGCAAAAAAAAATATCTATTTATCTATTAAGAAAAGTGAAGAACAGACTGGAGTTTTAGGAGGAAAAAATACCTTCATTCAAATATCTAATTCACTCATTCAAAAACTATTTTTGGCTTTAAAATTTGGCAGTTAAACACAGGGCTTGTTTTAAATTTAATTTTGCTTGGAAATATTCAGTAGTTTTAAGTAACTAGTTGACATGAACTTAAGTTACTTCTACAAGACACACATGAAAAGTCATACTGTGATTCTTAGAAATTGAATTTTTCTTGGTGGTATTGAATATTCAATGACAAGACAGGTGCAAACCCTGTCCCATGGTGTTTACATTTCACTTAAATATAGAAAAAACAAAAACCAAGCACCATTAAATGAATAAGATTTCAGACAGAGAAACGAGAGGGAAACAGTAAGAGCAAATACAAGACTAGAGAGGCCAAGGGTGCTGGGAAGGCGGTGGGTGGGAGAGTGGGCACAGGCTGGGCAGGCGGGGTCCTCTGAGGAGGGGCATTTAAGCTGAAGCATGAACAATGAGCAGCCTGAGAAAATCTGGGGGAAGAGCCTTCCAAACAAGACGTGTGCAAGTGATGTCGATGTCACCCCTTATTCTCCAAGGACACGAGACAATGGACTGAGCAATCCATGTGTGCCTAAATAAAAATCATATTTACATTTCCAGCCTTTTGGACTTGGGTAAGCTGGCACTGAAATTGATATCTTCTAGATTTGTAAATTGGGGATCCATTAGGAAACTTGCGTTATTATGGAAAATGGGGGGATAAACAGAGAATGAAGATCACAAGAGAAAGAATATTAAGAGTTTACACATAAATACCCCAAAGGAGACTTATAGAAAGTATTTATGGATCTGTCTTGCAAAACACAGCTACATACCAGAGGTTTTGTTGAAGGTGAAAATGACAATAATTGAATGGGAATACTTAATTTATGCACTTGTACATGACCATCCCGTACCAACATAAACAATTTAGAGAAAATGTCTTGCAAATTCCAATGATACAAACTAAATATAATAAACTCAAGTTATGACAAGGCCAACTTGAGAATTTGCTTTCAGTGACAATGATACTTCCTTGGTTGAAATGGTTCAAGCCCAAAGTTATTTGTATTATCATTCTCTTTCCTAACAAGTGTACTTTCCCATGGCTTTTATGAGTGTTCTAGCCAGTCCAAGACAGTAGGGCAACATGTAAAATAGATCCAGACATGAAATGAATCCTATGAAGGAAGCCACCAAACCTCCTCTCGGTGACTGAAAGACAGCTGGAGTTCTCCTGGGGGGCAGAAGATTTGGACAGGGATATAGGGTACAGAGAGAAAGAGAAACAGAGCAGCATCTCCAATAGGAACCAGAAAATGTGTAAGGAGAAATGAGAGAGCCGTATTCCCAGATGGAGCCATTTTATTTCCAAGAGAGATTACAAACAAGGCTATGCTTTCCCATCTCCACACTGGATTTGCATTTTACAAAATATGTTTGCTCCTGAAATCCTTCATAAAGTCTGCCTTCCCCTCTGCAGTGGGAAAGAGGCAAAGAGTCAAAAGTTAAAAGGTCATGCATAAAACATATCCACCAAGATAGCTGTGTAATAATCTTAAATTCTTCACAAATCAATGATAAAACATTAAGATTCACTGACACGTCACTGTATTTTACCGCACATCAAAGTTTTTCTTCACATGTTCATGCTCCTGTTTTACAGACAACAATATTATAAAAAGATTATCAACTTTTCATAAAATAGAAAAACAAAACAAAGCTATACACTAGAAAAGAACTGTAGAGCACAAACATTTCTGTAAGAATAAAAGCCAAAAGAACAATGAATTCAAGTATTTCATGAGAAACAGTGGCTGACCCCTGTTTCCTTCACTCCCTTTTCATCTGAGAGCTCTTCCGAAATCTGAAATTATCTGCGATCTGTAACCACTACAGAATTTGGGTATAATTCTGGGGGGAAATGTCATTTTAAAGGAGTTCTTGTATGTATTATATTTCCTCTTTCTTAGAGGTAGAAAAACTCAAATTAAGTTTCTTTCAATGGTGTTAACAGACCAGTGACGGGGCTGTTGGTATAGCTCCGTGGTAGAGCGCTTGCCTAGCATGCTGCGGCCTTGGCTTCTGTCCCCAGAACTCCCCCCACCCAAGTGTAATATGAGGAAGGTAGCTATCATACACTAAGAACTAAAATTTGGGTTTCTTAGAAAAATAATTCTTCAATGTTACAGGTGTCTATGTATATGAAATCACAACCTGACAAAAAAAATCACCAATACAATTTACCCAGTCTGAGAAAATTGTTGGGATTCATGGTTAGACAAGAACTCAAAGAGGAAAGGGAGACCCAGAGGTGGTAAGTGGCTCACCTAAGTGCAGTAGCAACACAGCTTGCATAATTATTCTTATACACATGTAGGTGCACACACATACACACGTGGTTGCATTTACTGGTGTTTCGCACACAGAATACCACTCACCAGCTCTTACAGTACATGAAGAATAAGTATGCAAATCTGTGTTTGTTACCTCATGGTTAGATGTGGAAATGCCCATTTTTTAAAGGAGTGGAAAGTTCTACTTTCTTTCTGAGCGGAGTTGTGCCGCTGCTCTCTGCAAGCCCCAAAAGTAGCATGGATGGGGTAAAGTTGGAGGGGCAGGAAGCAGCATAGCATGCCAACCCAAACCAGAACAGAAGTTCCTTGCTATGTCAAAGATGCTCCCACTGGCAGTGCAGACGTTACATGAAGGTAAGCTTGGGTTGTTGGAACTTCTAGAACAGGTTGGAAGAAGAAAATGAGGAGTGCAGAGAGTAGTTGACAATGTTTGCCTGCCCCTAAACCAGAAGAACTGGAGTAAGGGCTCCTCTGACCATAAAGAACACAGAGGAGCAGTGTGTCTTGACTAAGGTATTAAACTACAGGTTGAATATCCCTTATTTGAAATGCCTGGGACCAGAAGCACATTGGACTCTTCTGGAATTTTCAATATTTGTGCATGCATAATGAAATAACTAAGAGATAGGACTCAAATCTAAATTAATTTGTTTCACATATACTCATATGTGAAATTTATATATACTCGTAGTCCGAAGGTAATGTTATACAGTACTTTAAATACTTTTGTGCATGAAACAAATTTTCATGGTGTGAGTGTGACATGGTGGCCCATGCCTGTATTGCATTCCAGCTACTTGGGAGGCTGAGGCAGGATCATGAGTTTGAGGCCAGTTACACAATTTAATGAGAATCTGCCTCAAAAATAAAATAAAATAAAATAGGCTGAGAATGTACCTAAGTGGTAGAGCACTTGCTGCACATGCACGAGGCCCTGAGTTCAATAACCAGTACTGCAAAAATGTATTGAAAAAAATCTTCAGGGTATGGAATTTTCCACTTGTTACATCACATTAGCACTTAAAGTTTCAGATTTTGGACCATTTCAGATTTTGGGTGAGGGATGCTCATCCAGCATAAACTTAGATAATTTTACTAGGTGCAGAATTTCTAATTATTTTGGCTTGTATATGTATATAAATATCAAAATATTTTTTCTTAATATATAGTACTATTAATTCCTATTGTATCTCTTTCCATAAAATTACATGTGCATATAATTTGAAGGTAGTTTAAAAATACCATTCCTTTTAATATTTATTACAGATGTCTTTCAGGAAAATCCTGTCTAGCTATATACAGTAACATTAAATAACTTAAAAAAATAAACAATACACTATATTTTACCAAAATAGTCACATTTTAAAGCCATATAAGTGAAAAAGTTGAGTTTTAAGAATAGACTAGACCTTCCACAGGTATTTTTTCATTAGGTAAAGTATTTTAAATTAATAGTAAATGTACTTTATTTCCTTACTATATCAAATATATGCACACTGCTCTTGATAATTTGCGTCAGAAGCATTTTTATGAAACAATAGGTTGTTTCCTTTTTTTTTTGGTACTGGGGATTGAACTCGGGTCCTTGAGCTTGCGCAGCAGGCGGCAAAACCACTGAGCTAAATCCCCGGCCCTCCTTTTTTTTAACTTATTTCACAATGGAAAATTTATTCTAAATCTAAATAAATTTGTTCCCAAAAGATTTCCCCAAAGAAATGTAACCAAACAACACACAATGTAACCAAACAACAAAAGTTTAACAATGTATATATATCCAGTGCATGCAGCCTCTTATTTTCTAGTAATATTAGTAGAAAGTAACTTTCAAGTACCATTTTAATCCAACTCGACTTGAAGATAGCTATCTCACAAAATTAACACTCTAGAGGAAAATCCTTGAGAAACCCATCTTGCTGGAAAGCCATTGTTGAAATTCCCATCGGAATCAAAACCATCAGCAAAGGACAGAGAACACCTGGTCCCCGGCACTGAGCTGAAAGTGCAGCATCCAACACCACTCTGAACCAAAGTCAGCAAGTTCAAGGGCTCCTGGTTTCTGAAATCATCAAAGGTCATCCTATCATCCACAACAGGAAACACGGCTTTCGAAAAGATGCAGGCAGGACCCAAGGCTACTTCCAGTCCTGGTCCTGTATTTTGCTGCTGTGGATATCAGCAGTAGTTGGCTAAAATAAAGAACACAGAGCATGGCCCACTTTGGAAACCAAATTCAGATATCTTTGCACTTACTCAAATTTGTTTTTTAAAGTTAGATTATCATAAAGTCTGCAGAGCATAGAGAATCCAAGACTGACAAGTATCAAGGGAGGGGGGTTTAGCGAAGAAAAAGTCTACGTCTTTGCAAAGCAGATGCAGGAGGTCAAGAAGGGCTCGAGCTTTCGGGAGGTTTTACTCTTTCACAGGTTTTGATCCAGCCACTGGATGTAACTATTCCTAGTCCGGATTCCCACTGAGAAGTTGGTGGGCCAGCTCGTGAAAATCACGCACCCGTGGAAGCCATCCTCAAAGTGATCGAGGGTCACCTCCACACCCACGCTCTCCAGACGCCTGGCGTACATGATCCCGTCGTCTCTCAGCACATCGTGCTCACACGTGAGAATATAGGTCTTCGGGAGGTGCTGGAGCACATCCTGGTCTGCAATGAGTGGGGAGGAGCGGGCGTCCAGCAGCTGAGGGATCTCCCGGACGATCCTGGCATTGCCCGTGGTCTGCACAACAGGCTTGTAGTCCTTCGTGATGGATGCAGGCAATAGCGACATCCAGTTTAGACGGGCTCTGAGGGCAGCCGCCTCCTCCACTTCCAGGGAAGTGTGATTGTTAACCATCATCGCCTGCACAAAGTCGTAGTTGCCTTTGAAGTAGTCCAGCCAGTACTTTACCATGACATAGCGAGGCAGGATTGGGGTGTTCACGTTTTGCTGGTAAGAGGGTGTATTAAAATCTAACGCTTGGAGGACTGGATAGATCAGTGCTTGCAGTTTGAGCTTATTCCTTAGGTTGGCATCTTGACTGAACTGAAAAGAGGAAACACATCATTACGTTTTGTGTGATTCTTTTTACAGAAAGGACACCCTATAGAGTAGCTTCAAGTCAGTCAAAGGAATAAATTTTACATTTCTACGAGGCATGGTATTAAGTAATACAGTTTAAAAATAAATAATTCTTCACCACTACCACCCTATCAACCTGAGTATTTATTAAGGAAGTTATGCTGTTTGCAATTTATAGTTTTGAGTGAACCCAGGGTACATGACCTCTGAGGTCTTCACTCCCATTAACACTGCTTGTATCTATCCTTTGGCACTCAGCACACCTTGGTGGATATTATGGGTGAATAACCTATGAACCTCATTTAATTGTTATTCTGTACAAAGCTCCAAAAGGCAATGGCTCCCTAGGGAGAAAAGAATGAGGGTTGCTCTTCCAGACGAGAGGGGTAGTAAAGCTAAATGAGCAGCAGACAACAGGACTCTGAAACATTTAGTGAAAACCCTCTGATGAGCATTCAGTCTTCATGCTTGGTGAGAGAGTGAGAATTTAAATAATGCTGGCCACACACCTGCATTCTACTTAATGAGCACATGCCCGAGAATGAAACCAGAATGGAAATGGGAGTGAGTCCCCCACCTCTGGAGCTGTCAGTTCACCTGCAACTCTTGCCAGTATGATTATATCATGGCATTTCTGTAATTCTATTGTCTAAAATTATGCATTTGTCATAGAACATCCCAAAGGAAGCTATCTAGCTGGGTCACTATGCTTCATAAGTACCCAAACAATCTTCAAGGTAACTTGAGCCAAATGGTTTTGCTTCACTCCTGGACTTTCAAACCCCTGCTCAGGTAAGGTGTAACTGCTCTATGAAAGCAAAAGGAGACCGGCAAGCAGCCTAGGGAGCTCTGCTCAGTCAACTCACCACACCCACCTGCGACCAGCAAGATGGTGAGGACCCCTCAACACACCCACCAGCTAGCAGCTTAGCTTCGAGGGTGCCTGCAACCCCCAACCCCCTCCTCTGGCCTCCTGGCTGTGCTGCTACCTGGTTCCACACCACAGAGGCACAGGGGAGTATAAAGGCCATTGTCTTGAGCTGCAGAAGTGAACAACAGATAGAGGGACTCTCTCAGGCTCCTTGATGAAAACTGAAGCCCACTGGAAAAGTGAAGAGAATCTCTGCAATAAAGGCACACCAGACCATTTTATTTCATAGGTTGGAGAGATCATCGCCTCCCATTGGAACCTGGACTATTTTCAGGGGAAAGGCAGCTGGAACCTGCAGTAGAGCCTTGCAGAGTTCAACTCTGCAGAAGAACAGAGAGCTCAGCTTGGGACTTGCAGCCAGAAATCTGCCTGAATTTCACGGGTCTGAGACTGGCCTACTGAGACTCATTGACTTATATCTGCACACTGCTGCCCATGTTGTCTATTATGACAGCAGAGACATACCCTGAAGGAGGCCCTTCTTTTTTATCTTTTATTTATTATTTTCAAAATTACTATTAGTATTTCTTTGCTCTTATTTTTAATTTTTTTTTTTCTACTCTTTTCAAATTTTTATTTTTCTTTTTTCTTTCTTTTCTCTCTTCTTTCTCCTCTCACTCATTCCCTTGCTGTCCCATATTGTTCTTCATCTCCTTTTGTGTTCCTGTTCTGGCCCTAATTCGTATTTCTTCTTTATCTTTCTTTTCTTCTCTTTTTCCTTCTCTTGCCTGTGTCCTTTAGCCTCACTGCTAACCTTTTCCTATCCTTGTACTTACCTATCCCTCCCTCCCCAACTCCTTCTAACTCCCCACCCCAAAGGGTAAAGTTGCTATATTGAAGAGTTTATTCACTATAAACATATGTTGGGTTGGTCCTTGATTTTGATTTAATTCACACAGTTAAAGGTGATAGATTAATAACTACCACAAATTGTCATTTTCTAAGATGTACTTGATGCTGTGATATTACTGATTGTATCACTTGGGCAAAGGTGTTGTGATTGATCTAATCAGTTGTTCTTCCTGGTATAATGAAATGAGAGAGCCTCAGAGCCATTAGAGACTCAAAACCTAAAGACCAGCTATATCTGGAAGACACTTCTGAGAAGCAATCATTCCATAAGGGTTCTAACTACAAGCAACAAAGATACTTAAAATAAGCAACTTCGAAGTATCAACCCAGGAATTAAACCAAGGACAGTGCTAATAACAAAAATGAGAGGAAATTTAAGTGAGGCACAACTCAGACTTCCACCCCACCAAAGGCAAATTCTGGGGGAAAGGAGGTAGAAAAGCCTGATAATCAACCACCTGGACACCATGAACTGATAGCACAGGAAGTAACAAAACAGATGACTGAGGCTCTAGAAAAATTCAAAGGAGAAATATTCTCGCAGATAACTACAAAGATGGTGAGCAGAGTGAAAGACATGATTAGAGGCTCTAGAACAGAAACAGATAACAAAATAGATGAGCTCAGAAACATGCTGGAAGCCATGAATATCCAGCATAAGAAAGAAATGGAATCCATGAAACAGATTCAAACAGATATCTAGGAGATGAAAAACTCCATTGAAAGTATGCACAGCAAATGAAGGGAATGTGAAGATAGAATATCAGATATAGAAGACAGGATTGCAGTTAATGACCATGAAAACAGAGATTTCTTAAAAATAGTGAGGGACCATGAGAAATCAATCCAGCAGCTGCTAGATGATGCAAAGAAGAATAACATAAGACTGATAGGATTCCACGAAAAAGCA